ACACTGATTCATTAAAATGCGAGAAAAAAATCTAGAGAAATGCATTGCTACAATATCTGAGCAAATTAATCTCTAATGCATAGCTGAACAGTTAAAGAAGTAAATATCGTAATATCATGTCAAGGTAGCAGCGATTTATTGATGTTTAAGCCAAAGAAGAGAAGAATTGACTAGTGTTAGGAAACTGCAGCTTATAATGCACATTAAAATAAATGTATTTCTGAGATATTTCACATTAGTTTATCAGCAACTTTTTAGTCACATTTTTTTTTAAATAGAAGTCATTTAAGGAGTATGTAAACATCCCTTTCCTCCATTCTAACAGGGTTATTCAAATTTGGACCTCAGTTTCTTCTTTTGTAATGTGACAGAATTAGAATGATGTGTTTTAGAGATTCTTTACTACCTTTGATTTTTCCTTTCCTCTCATATTTTTTTGTAATTATTTTCTTTAAACCAAGCGTGATTCTGTTTTTTTTCTCTTTCAGTTCATCAGCCATCACCTAGCCTATCTGAATATTTATCACTACTTTCCATATGCTACTCCATTTCTCTTGTCTTAATGTGACCAAAGACAGAATTCAAATGCTGCATTTTCTTGAACGATTTTGGAAACAAGGGCAAGCTAGAAGGGAGAGAGGAAGGGAAGGAGGTTGGGAGGGAAAAAGAAACCATATGTAGAGCCATTTCTGATGTCTTAATACAAACCAAATAACACCTGCATGATAACATTTAGTAAATCATGGTGATTTTTATATTTAAGTCTCTATGCATCGACTAAGTATAAAAAAGCAAAAAACAAACAATTATAGTATATGTGTGTGTGAATATTATATAACCTCCTCACCTTCACCATAATTCTCACAGAATTATGTAATTTCTTCTGCATTATTGAACTCATTTTATTTCTTCCAACAATCATTGATAGTTCTATCTCCTCTGATCACCAGAAATGTCTCTTCTAACTCATACAGCCTATCCAATGCATGTTTATCCAATATATGTTTTAGGTTTATTGTCTCAACTAATCCTAATGACAACACTATGAGGTCTATGAGGTTTATATTAATATTATCATGTCCGTTTCACATATGAAGACCCTGGGTTACAGGGAAGTTAACTTTTTTGCCTAATGTCACCTTTTCCTAGCTTTTTCTCAGCGTCTTTGGTCCGTGTGCTCCATCCTCAGCCATAGCATACCACTCTAGGTTTTTCAAATGAGCCATTTTTATTCTCTCCTCCTGTTTGTAAATTTTCCTTTGCCTGGATACCCTCCTCTCACTTTCCTTCTTTGTTAACAGAAGTAACTCTGAGATCACTTATTTTTTAATTTCAAAGTATTATGAGGGTACAGATGTTTTTGGTTATATGGATCACTTTTGTAATGCTCAAGTCAGGGTTAAAAGTGTGCCCGTCACCCAGATAATGTTCATCGTACTCGTTAGGTAGGTTTTCGTCCATTTCCTCTTCCCCCGCCCCCACTTTATTTCCGTTGAGTTTTACTTCGCTCTTTGCACATGTGTGCTCATCGGTTAGTTCCAATAGTGAGTATATCTGGTATTTGTTTTTCCATTCTTTAGATACTTCACTTAAGATAATGGACTCCAGTTCCATCCATATTGTTGCAAAAGGCATTAAGTCATCCTTCTTCTTTGTGGCTGAGTAGTATTCCATGGCATACATATACCACATTTTGTTAATCCACTCGTGAATTGATGGGCATTTGGGTTAAGATCACTTTCTTGAATAATTATTTCACACATTATCTGCTAAAATCAATCACCTCTGAATTTTCCTGGTGCTTTACACATTTTACTTGACTTCCTTGCTTGTTTATATATTTATTTTTCTGATTGAATTGTTCCGTACTTGGGAATTAGGGAACCATTTATCTTTGTCTTCATTGCCTATCCCAGTGCCTGACATGTATTAGATACTCATCTTTATTGAGTCAACTCTAGTTAAGCATCAATCCTAGAGCATATGATTAGGTAGCATATGAAAATTTTAGTCAGAATTATAATTTTTATTTGGCAGAATTTAATATTTAGTTATATTTTAACTATCTTAAAAATTCAGAATACTTTAATTTATGGGCCTCTGCTAGCCAGGACTGGACCTACATATAGGCATAAATCTGTGCATAATTCTGCTCTCTTTCATGAAGTCCTTGTTTGTATCTTTTTCATCAGAATTTACTTGTCAACCGTTATCCCTAAGGCTATTAGCTAATCAATTATCAGTTGAGTTCTGTTCTTTACCTACGACAGTGGGATACAGAAAAATCGTAAAATATAGTGAAGGACCTCAGAGTCCAGCTGGGGTGACAAATCTAATACACAGAAAATTTAAATATAAATACTCTTAATCTGCTGCCATAATACACCAGTGTGTTACTAAATACAGACTTAAGACCACTTGCAGTTAATTAGCCCAGTTATCCTAATACCACTCTGCAGGATACAACAAACTGCCATCCAAAACTGTGCAGGGGAGAAGAACCTCCATCTGCCACTCCTGTAGCAAGGTTATGAAGCCAAACTCTCCTAGGCTGGCAAAAGGCTTTCCTCCTTGGATTGATGCCATCTCAGACTTTTATTTAAAGTTCATTGAGCCAGGCCAATTCCTGTCACTAATTCCTTGGAACATCTTTTTTATTTTATTTTTATTTTATTTTTTAAGAGACATAGTTTTGCTCTGTCACTCAGACGGTGGCATGATCATAGCTCACTGCAGCCTTGAACTCTTAGGCCGAAGAGATCCTCCTGTCTCAGACTCTGGAGTAGCTAGGACTACAGGTGCATACTACCACACCTAGTTAATTTTATATATGTATATATATATATTTGTTTTTTGTTAAAACAAGGTTTCACTGTGTAGCCCAGGCTGGTCTTGAACTCCTGGCCTCAAATGATCCTCTTGCCTCAGCCTCTCAAAGCACCGGTATTACTGTGGAACATCTTGATTCACTTTGATAGCCTTAAAATTTTCCAGTACTTTTAGTGATTTATGACTACGTGACATAACATATTTTGCTGCTCGTATGTCTGTAGATTTGGTACTTCATTTACTTGTTCTGCCTATCCTTATCCTTAATTTGAGTTTTTAAAACTAGCTTTGGCAATGTATTCATCCCAAGGTCTTTCATTTTTTTCTCTTTAACTTACCAAATCATTGCTTTATTGCTTTTGCTCTTAATTTTTAAAGTTATTTTGCAAATGTGTAAGTTTAATGTTGCCTTGATTGTAATACATTAATTATTCTCCAGTGCAATTATATATTTGTGACTTTTGTTACTCTCTTGAGGTTCAGAGATTGTGTGTGTATGTATGTTTGTATGCGTGTGTAATTTTATGTTTTCTCATAGCTTTTTCACCAAGTACCTTCTACTTTTATTTTTTGTCTTCCTTTCCTATAGTAATATCTACAGAAAATCATAAGATTAAATAATTAAATAAAATATGACATTCTATAGGGAGAATGTATTTCCTCTGATTATAAGCACTAAAATTTTATGGGCACTCATATGGTTTTCTTTTCTTTTCTTCTTCTTTTTTTTTTTTACCTTGCAAGTTTTTTTTTTAATTTCTTATTTTAAGAAAATATATTTCTCTGTTTTCACAGGTAAGAAGATGGCCTATCAGAAGGTCAATGCAGATCAAAGAGCTCCAGGACACTCACAGTTCTTAGACAATGATGACCTTCAAGCTACTGCCCTTGACTTAGAGTGGGACATGGAGAAGGAACTGGAGGAGCCTGGTTTTGACCAGTTCCAGCTAGACAGTGCTGAGAATCAGAACCTGGGGCACTCAGAGACTGCAGACCTCAATCTTGATTCCATTCAACCAGCAATTTCACCGAAAGGAAGGTTCCAGCGACTTCAAGAAGAATCTGACTACATTACCCATTATGCAAGACCTGCACCAAAGAGCAACCGCTGCAACTTTTGCTACCTTTTAAAAATACTTTGCACAGCCACTATTTTATTTATTTTTGGAATTGTGATAGGTTATTATGCACATAAAAATTGCCCTTCAGATGCAACATCTTCGGAAACAGTTTATCCTCAGTTATACCAAGAAATTCTCAAGACAATCCAAGCAGAAGACATTAAGAAGTCTTTCAGGTAGGTGTAGAAGAAATGGATGTTGGTTGGTTGCATTTCTTGAGAAAGATGTCTCATAAAGAGTATTGAATTGATGATTTTGCCATGGTTTAAATCATTTTTGCAAGCTGAGAAACATAACTTTCCAGCACAATAAGAATAGAAACTTCAAAGATGGGGTGCATATTTTTAGATTTATGGTACTGAAATACAAATTTATGATGCAGTTTTATTAATTAATTGTAAGAATCATGAATACTATAAAGACTAAAAGACTACAGCCAATGTGTTTTCTCCCTCTTGGGAAGCCCAGTTAGGCCAAATTGAGAAGCAAAGATTGCCAGCTTTGCATGTAATAAAAACTAGGGCATTAGCCATATGATTGAAAATTTTAATGATGTCAGGATAAAATAAACCTGCTTTATGGGCTGAAGTAGCTGTCTTCAGTTACTGAGATATGCACTGATAGTGTTTGGTCTCCGGCATCCCTGAGCTTCCCAATAAGTGCTTTCTATTTAAACATACTGGGTTTTATACATTGGACAGTTCCAAAAGCTCATCTCTCTCTTTAGGGTGGATTTGCATGTGACCTCTTTAACCAGAATGTGTCAATTTTTAAGCTAAATTATAAGAAAATATTCTTATTCATGCCTTAAGCTGAGTTCTTGGGGAAATGCTTCACTGATGTCATATAATGGTGGATAACCTGTAAATGTTTGTTATATTATTAGAATACATGTTGAGTTGTAAAGGGCTTCCTAGTTTACATGTTTAACAAAGTGAGGAAGTGGAAGGGGAAAACTGGATATTATCTTCCACATATATCTTCCATATTTGCAGAAAAAGGACAGTACTAAGTAAATCATGTATGTTGTTTATAGGCAAACAGAGTAGATGTATTACTTCTCCAGGATATTTTTTAAGGTTGTACTGATTTATTACAGCCTAAATGTTGGCAGGTGTGCCTGTCTAGGGATTTTTCTCAAGAAACCATGTTCACTGAATAGGTATCATTTAATTCAATGTACTGAAATATCAGGTGTATTGATGTTGGTGAATTCTAATGCTTTTCCTGAAGCTCATGCCTGGGTGACTGATAATAATGTGTTTCCTACACCCTTCTGTGTCTTATATTCAATACTGTATAAGCATCCCCAGACATATACCATGCAGGTAATAACACTTTCTATGATATTTCTCATATAAAGTATTTATATTGAACTGAAAAAATATGCCATTGTCTTATAATGAATGATTGTATCAGTCAGAATGCAATGAAGACAACAGAAAACTCTCTGAATATTTAAAGTTGAGGGCACTGAAAGTAGGGAAATGCTTCCATCTGTGATGAAGAACTGAGAAGCTAATCAGGGAATTCTGAGGCAGCCCAGAGCGTAACAACAAAATGAAGCTATTCCCAAACCTAGGTTGCCGGGACAAAGAGAGTGGGCCTAACGTGGTGGGAGCTGGTACTTTCTGCATACGCAAGTGCAGAGGGGGACATAGACTTAGCTGGAGACACCACTGAAGATCGAGAGAAATATCCCACCTTTTAAACTTCTTCCTGTCCCTGTTGTCCTATCAGTTGTCCCATTGGCTGATCCCAGCAGGAGGCTGCTGACACAGCCTGGAAAACTCATCCTGAATGGATTCGGCCCCTGCCTTATATAGGCTGGAGCAGGACAAAGGCAAGGGGCCTGTCACAAATAGATCTAGCTGATTCAGGGATGATATTAAAAAATAAAGAAAATAGAAGAACCCCATAAAACACATGACTTATTATCAGTTCCTGTGTTTACTAAGTAAGTTGAGCCTTAACTCTGTACATCAAAGATTCCTACTGTTATTTTTCATCA